GAGATGTGTATAAGAGACAGGCATAGCGTTGCTCTAAAGTTTTCTCCATCATAAGTACGACGCGACTACTACGTAAACGTTCACAAAAAAAGCCGTCCTAACCCTCCAAGCGCACGGAGACAATTGATCGACCAACCATTGGAAAGCTAAGGGTTCCCCCTACTCTCCCCAACCGGTCCGAACGCATTGCGACGTATAGTCACGTCACAAAAAAATGTGACGCATTACTTTCCGGACAGACCCTGTACAATAAATTCTACATCTAAAGATATAGATTTTTTAAATGAAAATATTATAATTAACTGTTATAAGACTTTAAATTCAAAATGTTACTTTTGTCCCCGGTCTCCCCTATTGAATATTAAGTTATTTATTTTTGAAAAATTAAATACTTAAAATTGAGAAAAATTATATATGTGAAATACTTTGTGACATTCCAGTGACATTAGGCATTGGCGTTCCAAGAGACATTAGGTGTTGTTATTATTTAGCCTCAAAAGTGACAATTATAATTTTTCTAAATTTTAAGTATTTAACTTTTGAAAAATACAATAAATAACTTAATATTCAGCATGTAACTTATATTCTTTTTATTTATTCTCCAAAGTTATTCACGCCTTATACAAAAAAATATATTTTACACACGCACGCGCACGCACGCACGCACGCACGCACGCACGCACACATATATATCTATATATAATACTACCGTTTAAAGATCTCTTCACCCCGAGATTGATGGGAAATATATAAATAATACAAGATAATAAAATATAAAATATAAAATTTGGTTTTGATTTTGTGTTGTATCACATAAACATAGAATGAATACCCTAAAAGGTTTTAAGGGATAATTCCTCATTCAAATCAAGGCAAAAACTTTATATGTGCAAAACAGCTATTTTCAAAGATTCAGGGTGACAAAGTTGAAGGGAAAATAGTTTTTTCCAAAAATTTTGAAAACTACTTGAGTTATTTTAGTAAAATTTGAGACATACAAAGCTTCATCAAAATAACACAAGTGGTTTTCAAAATTTTTAGAAAAAACCAGCTTTTATTATGTGTATATATCTTTTATATATTTTATTAAAAAATAAAAATATTTGATAAACACCATTTGAATATCAAAATGTGTGTTTTTATTACAATTGTAACTGCCCAAACTAAAGAAAAAAAACTCTGCTTGAGACATGTAAAAATAAAAATAGATATCATTTTTGGCCACTCAAGATAAATCTATGAAAATATTAGCGCTAATAACATGGTTAGAAACTATTTATATGTCGGATAGAGATGACGCAAATATGATTTATAAACTAAAATCTGTATAAACTTGGAGTTTGTACAGCAAATAGTATATTTGAATGTATAGCTATCGTTTCGATATGGATTAATGTACATTTACGCTTTGGATTTTTCTTTGTATAGCAACCGGAAGTATTACTTTATTTGCCCTCTTATCAAGGAAAATGTATTTCGTTTCTATTTTAGAGGGTATTAAAGGCATATTTTAAGCTCTTTTTATCTTTACATTTCTTTTAATGTAACATTATGCATTAATTTTTTCGTTTGACGTAAATGAGCTATCTCTTTATCACGAACAAAGGAACATAATATTTTATGCACATTTTTACACCTGTTTACACGAAGCTCGTTTTTATCAGTTTATCACTGTCACGACATTTATCGTTCTCGTGGAAGAATTAACTATAAGCCTAATGGCATTACTCCTTCAGATTAGGTGCCAGCAACATGGTCTCGTTCCGCATGTTCGACAATTATTTGCCAATCTCTGTAGTCATCGGCTTAAATGTTCTTGTACTCATAGCCGCGTATCCAAAATTTAAGTTAATTAATGTGGTAAGTACAATTAAATAATATATTAATATATCTGTATTTTTTATGATCATTAGAGTATTTTTGTGAATGTTAAGCTAAATTCTTTGATAAAAAAAATTTTTATATTATTTTAAAACATCTTTTTAAAGAATTTTTTATATTTTAAATTTCTGAAGATTTCTGGAAAATATCTTAAATTTATTTAAATTTTGAGTTTTCCTCAAAAATATAATTTTTGAAGAAAACTCAAAATTTGAAGAAATGTAAGATATTTTTCAAAAATCTTCAAAAATTTAAAATATAAAAAATTCTTTAAAGGATGTTATAAAATATTATGAGAATTGTTTTAATTATATTTTTTAAACAAAAGTTCTTGTATCTGTGCGGAAATCGATTATATATACATATGTAAAAAGAATTTTAAAAAACATGTAAACTTTCTCAGCATTTCTGAAAAGTGTTCCAATTCGAATGGTACAATCTGTAAATTTTTATAAAAAGTTGTAGAATAAAAATTTTGCAAAATTTTATGATTTATACAAAAATTCTAAAAAAAATTTTTATTTGAGTTATTAGAATAAATTCATAATTGTTCTATCCTACTATGTACACCGATAAAATTTATTCTTTTTTTACATCGCAAGTATGAATAATTATTTGCGATATATTTTTGTCCGTTGAATATAAATCGAAATTAATTATCGTTACTATAATGCTGAGAAAAAATAGCATCCAATTAAGAAATAATGTTTTTAGAAAAGTTTTTAAAAATATTTGTTTAAATTTTGTTAATTTCACTTAAAAGCACATCAATTATTAAAAAGATTTTAAAAACTTTAAAATAGATTATGTTTTTTTTTTATATGATTTTTTATTTTCAAAATATTTAAAGATAACTTTTTTTCTAATTCCATGCCCTTACAGTTATTGTGTAATACTTATTTTTTTAATAATGGAAATTAGTTATTTTGAGTATTAAAACTGTTGATCAATGCTTCTAATAATTCAAAATAAAAAATTTTAGATATTAAATTGGCCAATATTAAATTAGATTTCTGTAAAAGTGCATTTTGTACTTATATAATATAATTGGACACATACCAAATTAAAAAGCAATATAAAATTGAAAATACAATATGACAAAAAGATTATGTATATTCTGCTATACGACAACAAGCCTAATACAGTATTAAGATGGAATAAAATGTCTTTTCTAAATATTATATGGGAAAAGAACTATCTTCAAATCAAGCGGAGCGACACCAAGTATAGGTATAAAAGTCGGGTGATGACTTTTTGCTATATTTCGAAAACGGAAACGTTTTATATCGAAAGAGGACATGAAACTAAAAGTTGATATATTCGCGTAGTATTAATGAAATTTAGAACAAAATTGCTATCGGTGCTACAACATCAAAAAAGACTCTCAAAAATGTCATTTTGTGCTTTTTTTAATTGATTTTCTAAAAACGTTTTCTAGAAACTTATGACATAATAGCCAAATTTGGACAATAGATTCGTATTCTGTGGGCAAAAATACATCAGGGGTATTATTATTCACACTCATATTGCAAAATGATATTGGACATGTTATCATCATTCTATTTTCATGCAGGTATTTAGGCATGGTGATCGGGCACCTGACAACAACGGACACGAAATGTATCCAAACGATCCGTATTTAAATTACTCCTTCTATCCAGAGGGCTTAGGACAGTTAACCAATGTAAGTAGAGAACGTTTTTTTCAAATTTCCTTGAAAAAAAGTGACCCAGCGTGGGAAGAATAAATTAAATTAATTTTTGCAAAATTTTAACTTATATCGATAAATAAAATTTGATTATAAATCGATTAAAAATGTTTTGAATGTTGTAAAACTAGCACTTGTTAAGTATAGAGATGATATTAATTAAATATGTACTTTATCGTAATATCAATCTAATTGTAAGACTGAATAATACATTCTGACAATCAATCAATACAATTAATGCTATTTTTAGCGGGGCAAGTATCGCGAATATCATTTAGGGATAGCTTTGCGCACCAGATACAAGAACTTTTTAGGAGATCTGTATCTGCCGAAACTCGTCTTGGGTCACAGCTCTGATTATGATAGAACGAAAATGTCTCTGCAACTGGTTCTCGCCAGCTTGTTTCCACCAGTAAAGAAAGAACAACTATGGAATCCTGCATTAAATTGGCAACCGATTCCGACAACATACGTACCACGAATTGATGATAATTTCTTCTTAGCTGACGAGTGCCCACAGTAAGCATGGCTGCGTTTCGTTTCACGCATGATGCGCATGATTTATCCTTTTATCTTTGTTTAACATTTGGTCAACAACGATACATCATACGCGTTATACGTGAAACGGAACGCAGTCCATAACTGTTCTTCAGAAAAAAAAAATAGTAAAGCGATAAACAAAAAATTCTTTTGTTTAAATAGAATTGATGTAAATCCTTTGCTATATTTCGGGATAGTGGGAAGCTGAAAATATAGAAAGTTTTCAAACTAATAGAAAAAATATTTTAGTAACTTTAATACATTGTAAATTTGTGCCTTATTTGTAAATGTGAAGGATGCAAGAAGGATATACGTATTTAGAAAAAAATCCGAAAATTCACAAGAAAAGGAATTTACATCTGACATATTTTTAGGTTTCTTAAGGAGTATGATCGAGTGCTGAATTCGCCTAAGATACAAGAAAAAATGTCCCAATTTGCAGACATGATGAATGACTTAACGGTACTAACCGGCAAGAAGATCCAGACGCCTTGGAATATGTTTTACCTGTATCACACTTTCGTAGCAGAGTCATTCCTGAATTTGCATCTTCCGAGATGGGCGTACAAATACTTCCCGGATGGTCAATTATTCGATGGGATTGTAGCTGCATACAATATTGCAAGTTCTACTCCATTATTAAAGAGGCTGTATGCTGGTAAGAGCCATAATCGGAATTAATATATCGCAATATCTCTCTTATAATATCTCTCCTACAATATTTCGTATAGCACATGCTTTTATTTTTTTTATAGGCCCAATAATTCGTGCCATTACGGAAAATATGGGAGCTATACAAAATGGGAGCTCGTCAACAAAAATTTATTTATATAGTGGACATGAAACTAACGTTGCGGCACTGTTACACGCCTTCAACGTGTACAAGCCTCATGTACCTGAATACTCCAGCGCAGTTGTTTTAGAATTATTAGAGGAAAACAATCAGTATTATGTGAAGGTAAGTGTGTTGGTAATAGGTATTATTAAACGTGTACAGTCTTTCTGTGTAAATAATAATATACACTGCTCAAAAAAATTATGGCATAGAAAAATTTTGAGCAAAAATTGGTCAACTTTGATTAATGGTAACTCCGCGAAAAATCATCGTAAAATGATGAACTTATTTTCAAATGAAAGCTTGAAATCTCTACTTTAATATATTGTGAGTCGATTTTTAATTTAATGCACCCCTGTTGCTGTAAACTCTTAAATCTGAGAGCATGTTTGCCACACTGAAAATTGCAAAGTTTGAACGAGTGCACGGACTTACTAAAATTTTTCCCGGGGATGCGGTTTCCAGCGTCATAAAGTTGGAATCTTTCTCTTTAATTTGAAAAAAAAACAAGTCGCTACGATTTTTTTTTACAAAGTTACAGCATTTTGAAGTAACCCTTGTATTTTTCTCATGTATGTTTGGCATTATCCGATGTGCACTATAGGGAGATTGGCAAACGGATTTTGCACATTGTGTGAGTGCGGGCGTGTGTAAAACATACACACATACATACACGGTGTGCAAAATTCGATCTCTCAACTGCCGGAGTATTAATGAACTGAAAAGAGATCGAAAATAGATTCTCAAAAACGTTCGAATTGCTATTTCTAGATTTACAAAAATATTGCTCACATATAATGCTCGATCTTAATCGGATGTCAGTAATAGTGAAATCTGATGGTAAATTAACGTGCTATCGTTAAAGTACATCAACTTTTTATTCGCCACATAGCCAACATTTTTTAACCATCCGCATCATTTTCGCGAATAAATGAGTTATGTTCTATTACACGAACATCTCGCGAAGTGATCCGTGATCCAAGTGTACTTGACTTTTTAATTAATCATATGATCGCGCATACATCCCGTGTATTCATTCTTGCATTCCCGTTCATTAATGTTACGATTTACTGATAAATATTCTAAATTGCATCATATTGCGAGGACATATGCAGCCTACATAATATTTAACCAACATGCGTATGTGTAGTGTGTGAGACATATTAGTACAATCTTTGATATAATTTCTAATCATATTAAAGATTGTACTAATATGTCTCACACACTACACGTACGCATGTTGGTTTGTATGTGAATCTATTTTCATAACCGTATTATACAATTTTCCACTATATTTAACTCACGCGCGGATATTATAGCCATATTAAAACAAAAAAGAGAAAATATGTTATTACCGTAGCGGGTAGTTTTATATTTAAAATGATGAAACATTTTTTGTCTGCTCGCGTTTGATGAGCTATGATAATGTGCCAGAAACGTGTTAACAAAAAAAAATATTTCGAGGCTTGTGATTCACCCAAAAAAAAATAATTTTAATATTAGTGGAATCCGCTAAATTTTAGAGAATTTTATTCTTATATATGGCCTCAAGAGGAATCCTTTGAAATTAAG